TATCTCAAATTTATTTTATATCTAATTATAAATTTAAATTTCAAAAATAGTTAAAATCAAGTAGATCTATAAACATATGAAAATCTTGAAAATAGACGGTGTAGATAATATGTTGTAAAATGAACTATTTATGAGATTTAAAATCTTTTTATTTTTCATAGTCAAACATCTCGATGTCGAGATGATCATTCAAACGGTTGACATTAAAACGACCTTTCCGATGGATTTTTGAGGGGCATCTATATCCGTAGTTCTACATAATAAGGTTGCATCCTTATATAACTTTTTTCCTTCAAATATACAAAATCCATAAAGAATCCTACGAGGCCGTCATCAATTATAATTATCAGGATATTATTATTGTGGGGTCTCAATGGGACTTTGATATATTAAATTAAAAATATTTTTATTCCAAAATAAGGTTTTAATGAATTAACGAATATGAATTTAAATTATACATAGTAAAAACAAGTTAACCGGTTCAAGAAAAAGTTATACATAATAAAAACATAAATATGTTAAAAATTAGAAGAAAAAAAAAGATGTATACCCATCTCTTTATAATTGTAATTCCAAATAAATATTCGGATGAAACCATGGGTCTCCTCCAAATTAATAGAAAAAGGCTTGTAACTCTCTCTTTACCTTTTCTATTTTTCAAATTCTGATATTTATTCTTTTTGTTTTTTTCTAATGGCTTATCATCAAAATAAAAGTTAAGTTGCCATATTTAAATAATTTGTAACGATCGCAAGAGAGAGACTGTGCAAAGCAGGTGTCCAGGGAGCGAGGGGTAGCTTTTCTAGAGGCTTGGATAATAATGTCACTAAAAAAATATGGTTTCAATACTGTAAATCTTTGGGATAGTCTTAAAAATATATTTGCATCTTTAATAATAAATTTTGAAGTTTCAAGCGTTGTGTAGATCGAGCATATCTATAAAAACTTGAAAATCTTAAAAATCGACTGTCCAAAAATACATTACAAGATTAACTATTTTCAAAACTTGAAATCCATTTTTTTTTCATGTTTATGAATCTTGATGTAGAGATGATCAATTTGAGTATATTTGGGCATCAAAACAACCTCTTCTAGTGAAATTTTTGATGTGGGCTCTAATTTGATTGTTTAAACCTACGATCTGTATAAACTTTTGCCTATACCTCAAAACTTTCACTAGAAAAAGATGTTTTGATGCTCAAATATCATCAAATTGATCATCTCAACATCAAGATGCATGGACATGAGAAAAAAAATGGATTTCAAGTTTATGAAATAGTGCATCTTGTAACGCATTTTTGGACCGTTAATTTTCAAGATTTTTAAGTTTTCATAGATTTTGCTTAATCTACCCTCTTTTTAAAGCTTTAAATTTTATAACTAAATATGAAAATATAATTTAAGGCTATCACAAAACTTTTTAGTAATGAAACCATATTTCCCGACACTATTTGAAGGTGGGCTCTAATTTGATTGTTTAGAGCCTAGGCTCTATACAAACCGCACCCCTAAATATATACATGTATTATTTAAGGAAAAAGTCTATATAAAGCCTAGGCTCCCACCTAAAAAATTTCATTAGAAGAAGTTCTTTTTATGCCCAAATATCGTCAAATTGACTGTCTCGACAACAAGATGCATGGACTTGAGAGAAAAATGGATTTCAAGTTTTGGAAAGGGTACTGCTTCTATAAGGTTGCAATCTTAAACAATCCAATTAAGGCGCACCTTAAAATTTTATCATAACATGTAATTTTGTTGTAACCTATTTTCATACCTAATTAAAATATTTTCCAATTAAAGCGCACCTTAGTATTATCTTAAAACCTATTTTCATACCTAATTAAAATATTTTCCAATTAAAGCGCACCTTAGTATTATCTTAAAACCTATTTTCATACCTAATTAAAATATTTTAAGATCCAAAAATGGTTAAAATCAAGTAGATCTATAAATATATGAAATCTTGAAAATGAATAGTCTAGATAATGTGTTTCAAGATGCACTATTTCCAGGATTCAAAAACTTTTTTTTTCATATTCATACATCTCGATGTCGAGATGATCGATTAGAGGGTTTTTTCAACATTAAAACAATATTTCCGATAGATTTTTTAGGTGCATATGTGATTCTACATTTTAAGGTTGCAACCTTATTAAAACTTTTCCCTTTTAGAAATAGTGCATCTTGTAATGCATTTTGGACTGTCAATTCTCAAAATTTTCATGTTTTCATAGATTTGCTTGATCTACACTATTTTTGAAGCTTTAAATTTTATATTTAGATATGAAAATATATTTTAAGACAATCACAAAGATTTTCAGTATTGAAACCACATTTCTCGACACTATTTTAAAGTGGGCTTTACTTTGATTATTTAGAGCATCTGCTCTATACAAACCGCACCTTTAAATATATAATTATAGTTATTTAACTATTAATTAAATATTAAATATTACTTATATAATAACACTATTCAGGTCGGGTCCACATAGACTCGGACCCGGATCCAAACCCAAATAGTTTTCGGGTCCAATATTTGAACCCATACCTGACCCACTGGGTCCATTCTTGGACCCATACCTAGACCCAGGTCGGGTCCAAGTCCATTGCCACCCGCACTTTTAGGTAAATAAAATATCTCTTTTAAATTGCTAATTTTGCACTCAAATAGCATACATGTTATTATACAGATGTTATTATACAAGAGACTGTTGGCTGATAATGCATGTACCAAAATAAACAATATGATACATGTACCATAGCGTGAAAATGGGTAAATTTTGTGCCTTTTCAACGTGGTTTCAAGGGAGATTTCCATGTTATTTTAGTTTTTAAAGTTGTTAGTCATAATTTTCTACCATCAACAAGATATTCTCATATAGTAAAATACATTCCAAAAATTATAGTTTTCTACCATTAAAAATGGTACTTTCATATGATCAAATATATTCCCACATTATTGATGTGATTATGCTTGCTAAGTAGAAATATAAATTGAACTTCAATGTATGCCTATTTCAATGTTAAATTCAATAGGAAATAGAATTAGTAATACATCGGCTCTATTTGAGGTAGCGCAGGTGATCGGTGAGAATTTTGAATATATTTATATGTTTATTTAATTATTAGTTTCTTCAACTTATTCTACTATTATTTGCTAATTGTGTTTTAATTGATTTTGGTGGATTCATTATTTAGAAACACTTAATCCAACAGCTAGAAGATTTATGCTTCTTCCCTTACCATCCAGCCGTCCAATTTTGATAAAAAGAGTCACTCACTATTTGATCTTAGATCCGATGTCTCAAAGTATTTTATTTTTAATTTTTTTATATAAATTGTATGAATATGAAATTTGGTACATGCCATCTTCTCATTGGGGAGCACCTATAAAAAATATTAAAAATATTTTTTGATAAAATATAATGACCAAAATACCCCTTGAAACTTTTAGGGGTATTTTGGTCATTTTATTTTATTGGAAATATTTTTCGCTAATGCAAGTTCAATAGAGGATCCGATGTCGTTCAAT